ATAGCTTAGCCACCACTTGGATAAATAATGATTTTGTTTTTAGTGAGTTCTAAAATATTTGGATTTATATTGTTAAAAATATTGACATAGATCTAATTAGTAACATTTATTAGTGAAAATAACTTAAAATATAGGACTTAATAAGAGAAAATGAGATTTAATACCTTAAGCATAAGACTTAATGAGAGGGGATTAAATGATGTGGAAAGTAATAATTGAAATTACACTTTCAATCCTTACAATAATTAGAGATGGATTAAATACACAAATATGGCCATTATAGTAGCCATTAAAGCTGCCATTAAAACTATAATAAAATGACTTTTATAGTCTTTCCCAAATAAAGAAATAGAGGGTAATTTTAGTCCAAAAAAAGTTTCACATTGCATTCACACTTTTATATATAGCATAGATTATGATGGATCTCTGATTAAAATTATAAAATTATGAAATCCTCATGAAATTATTGAGTGAAAATGCCAGATTTGCTACCGCTTTTTTGGCATCATGTCTTTCCTATATTATACTCAAAGCCTATGTGAGTGTGTGTACATTAGTAAATAGAAATATTAGAATCGGGTTCAGGTTGCCCAATGGGTGGGATGGCAATTTTCTCCATCCGGCTGAGCATTTGTCTTCCCCGATCCAATGGAGATAGCCTTGGCAAGGACGGGGACAGCTGAGCATCTGTCTTCCAACTTTAATTATATATATTAAATTTTATTTATATTAAATATATAATATCATTCATATTATATATAACAATATATGTTTAAAATATTATTTATACCTTAAAAATTTTCCTTTATTACAAGTAAACATATTTTCCAAGAAAAACACTTTTATTTGAAAATTTTTGGGGATTTAGGTCCCAATAGAGAACTCATTTATGTGGGAGATGGAGGCTAACTTTTATCCCTAACAAGAATCAGGATTGGGAACAGAGAAAAAAGAGGGACACAAGCTTGCTGTCCTTCATCAAAAGGGAAAAAAAGAAAAGAAAAGAATAGGTTTATGTTAAAACTTCTTTAATGCCTTATCCAAAGGCTTTTAGTCATATTAAAGAAAAACATAAAACTGTTGACTACGGATATCATCTGTGAAAAGATGCAACACAAGGTGGATTCTGAACTAGAAAGATTGTTATGGACTTGGGGTTGAACAAGTGTCCAATTCATTATCATATTTAAAGGTGCATGGTTTAAATTTGCTACATTTCTTTCCATATGGAAAAAAAGAAAATGGGCCATGGGTTTTAGGAGTGGCTGTAGAGTGAAGGCTAACCGACCCAGAAATCTTTCACATGTCAAGATGGTTTGGGGCATGAAGAGCCTTGTGTGTTCCTCTGATCTGTCCAGCCTCTGCTCAGAAGGACAAGTTTCAGTTTAACTTGGTTAAACAAAACAAGTCCTAGTTGAGGAAGAGTGATTTGAATGATGGCCCAGTATTTATGTTTAACTGTTATGGGCTGTTATTGTCTAGGTCCAAACCCACTTCCACATATTAGGATGGAACATCATCATTCATTTTTGGGTTTAGTGTAGCCCAGGAAGGGGGCTTAATTAGTTAAGAGTATCTGATATAACTTGGGTCTAGATTGCTTTAAACCCGCCTAGCACTTGTAACCTTTCTGGTTTTTCGCTTGCCAAATTCCTAAGAGAATCATGACAGCACCACTCCAATCCAATATGCAGAGTACCTTAGGCTCGGTTTGGAAAGAGTACAAATACATCAAAAATAATACAAAATGCAAGGTTTTGCACTTTACATATTTGTATTTGTACTCCTTCCAAACTGAGCCTTACTGAATTTGCAGAATTTGTTAATTGTATAATCAATCCTAATCCAAGCTGAGTTGTTAAACCCCCAATCCTAAACATAACCAACATGATTTTTTCGTACGTATTGGGTTGGGATTGGGTTTAATTGTGGTTGGCCCGGTTTACCCACATTGTTTATGTTTGACTTAAGATCAGGGTATCAAGGTTTATTGATTTTAGCATTCTTATATCTACAATAAAAAACAAAACTATATTGCTTTGGGAGTATCATACTTAATCATATCATACCGGAAAGCTTTGCCTTCAAACATAAAATCGGTTTGCCAACTGAAAATAAGTTTTCTTTTTAAAATGTCCCCTTCAATTATATTCCTCACCGTTCAGGTAGCCATTGCATATTCCCAATCGACCACTTCATGGCCATTTTCCCAGGTCAATAAAGTTCTCGTTGGTGCATTTGCATTAAGTACTAATTAATTAAGATGACAAGAGTTTTAGGACATCAAACTATGGTGGCGTTTGATAAATCTGAAAAGTTAAAAAGATATTAAAAGTGTCTGAAACGATTTTGAGGATCTGAATTCATAAATTTGTTTGTGTTGAATCAGCCCTTTACCATCTGAAGTTTACTGATTTTACTATTTTACCCCTAAAACATACTATTTGGAAATGTTGAATTCAATTTGCATTATAAAAAATAATTTTCAACCTCAAAATAATATTGAAACAATATAAATAAAAAATAATAAATTAATAATTACTAATTAATAAATGAAATGATTAAAATTAAAAAAATAAGGACTATAAAATATTAAAATAATTAATAATTGATAATTTACACAAATAAAAATTAAAATAATTAAAAATTACTAGTTAATAAAAATAATTATTAATTAATAAATAACACAAAAATAAGTTTAATAAAAAATAATTAATGTTTAATAACAAAACATTAAAATAATTTATAATTAATAATTAATAAATAACATAAATAAATTTAATAAAAAAAATAATTAATGTTAAATAAAAAATATTAAAATAATTAATAATTTATAATTAAGAATTAATAAAATTATTATTATTATTATTACTACTACTATTATTATTATTATTATTATTATTATTATTATTATTATTATTATTATTATTATTATTATTATTATTATTATTGTTATTCATCGAACCATCGTTGCATGTTACAACGGCGGTAGCGGTGGTGGGAAGACAGGGAAGGGAGAGAGAGAGAGAGAGGAGAGATAGCTACGGTGGCGAGAAGACAAAGCAAAGAGAGAGAGAAAAAAACATAAGATGATGAACACTACGAAAGCCCTCTTAGCAGAAGCCGTGCGAGCCCACTGACGAAGCCATTTGTCTTCACAAAAGATGAACCAGTGCTCTGTCCAAACGGGAGAAGGGAATGGCCTCACTAAGCTCCAGTGAGAAGGGGGGTAGCTCGCTTCTGAGCTTCACAGAAGCCCAAATTATCAAGTGAAATCAGTGGCAATGCCACGCCGGTCCTCTGCTTCACATCGAAGGGTGGGATAGGTGGCGGAAGGAGCAAGAGGGTAGGGGGAGTTTTACAGAGCAGGAAGGAGCAATCGACAACATGCAGCGAGAGAGGGAGAGAGAGAAGACAAGGGGAGAGAGAGAGCTTGCAGCGGCGGTGGTGGGAATACAGGGCAAAGAGAGAGAGAGAGAGAGAGAAGACAGGGGGAGAAAGAGAGCGAGAGAGAGAGCCAGAGAGAACGAGAGTTTGAAGGTTTAGATTTTCCGGGTTTGGGGTATTAGGGGTAACTCGAGTCATTTACGAAAAATTGTAAGAATATTTTAGACATTGTGTCAGCTCTAAAATGCGTCTGAACGCGTTAAAAGCCGACTCAAGTTCTATGATTTTCAGATCTGAAAATCAGTTTCAGAGCTAGTTTGCTATGTTGAGAGGTACAACCAAACAAGAGGTGAAGTCTGAAAAATAGCATTTTCAGATTCAGACCTCTATGCAATCAAAGGCCACCTATGTCACTCCGTCTTATGTACTCTCTTAGCTAGAAAGCGCATATTGAAGAGTCGACCCCTAAACAGTTTATTCCTGAAGGGTTACCCTTGTAAGAGATTTTACGAGGTGATAAACTGATAATCTTATTTTCTATTTTTAAAGCCCCATTCTGGTCTACAATTTCAGGACCAATATGTTGTTCTGAATCCTCCCCACCACAAAATGGATCTGTTCTGTGAATTCAACAAATAAGATTGTTTTGATCAATGCCTGTTCAACTGTGTAAATTCGTACCCCTCTAGCTAGGATTAGACTGTATTATTACTACATATATATATGGAAAAAGCATATAAAGTAAACACAATATATATTTATGGGAAGACAAGTAGATATATGCCTACTGCGTCTCAGTAAATGTGAGTTCTTAGTTTAATTTATTGATGAAAGCAGTTAAATGCGACATTTTCTATCAAGTGATTATATTCCAGTACTGCTAGATATATAGAGGAGGTCTTATTCCTTTCTTCCACAATCGATCTAATATTTCAGAATTAGCAAATGATGAATTTAATTTTCTTTTTCTGTAAATGAAACCGAGACACGTCTCCCATCATTGCACGGAAAAGATCCAAGGCTTTTTATTCTAATTGTGGTCCAGGCTGAGTGCATGAAGAAGTGGTAGAGAGATTTTAGATCAGTTGAAATGGAGCCCAGTTTTCAGATTTTATAGGGGGGATTTTGAAGCTGTTTGATATAGAATCGTCGTAACATATATATGTATATACGTACACATATACATATACATACAGGGCTGAGCAGTCTCTTTGCCGATGGTATTTTGGCATTTTGAGTTTCGAGTTGTTCTACTTGCTTAAATCCATTTTTGTTAGAACCGGAATAGAAATAAAATGGAAAAGCAACCCATAAACTATCAGAAGATCGGAACCAGAAAGCTCACTGGGTCTCAGCCGGTTCACACATTCAAATACCGCATCCAATCCTAGTCCGATAACAATACTGGTTAAATCCCAATCCCTTCCAAGCTTAGAAACATATATATATATATATATATATATATATATATATATATATATATACCATGCACAACTTCTCTGAAAATGCCGCTTGGGATCTTGCTTCATCCTCTATTAGATAGAGATTGAGTTATCAACTCTTGCCTTTTATTGCTCTCTCTCTCTCTCTAGATCTCTCTCTCCATTGCTTTAGAACAAAGAAAGCATAACTTAATTAAGATCCATAGAAATAGTATATTAGCTAGAGAGTTCTATATAATATTATTTAACAGAGACTCTCCTCAACGCCACAACCCTAAGATCTTCAACAGCCACAAGAGATCGAAGAGACACACCAAACAAACACGGAGAGACTCATAGCTACTACTAGCTCCCGCTCCTGCCCCCGCCCCAGACAGGCAGACACACCCATATACCATTTTCCTTACGATAAAGATAAAACACTACTCAGAACAGCAATACCAAACACATACTACGTCACTGCTGCAACCTCTCCTCAGTCCTCAACGTTTCTTATTTGCAGGCTCCTTCTGGGCATTGAAGTAAATAGTCGCCACCGGAACGCCGAGGTCCAGTTGATTTGCAAATGCCCTGGTGTTGAAGTTAGCGCGGGTAGCTGGTTGCTGGATCACGGCGTCCTTCATAGAATACCTCTGCCGGAATAGCACCAATATGTACCGGTGTATTCCCACCGGCGGCCGAGGGCCCATGTAGGGAAGTATCTCCTTACCTGTCGATCGACAGACATGAACCCTCCTCCAACTTTAGAAAGGAAAGGGAAGCTTACACAAAAACCCTAAACTATGTGCTTCAGCTCAGGGCCTCAGGCCATGATAATGATAGTGCAGCAATCAATCACTTTTTTTATGTACTTCATCTACAAGTGGCACCAACTAGAAGACGCCAGGTGGCAATCACATATGAACTTAGTAGCTAGTACTTAAGCCAGTGCCTTAAAGAAAAGAAAAGATAAATGGCATGCCACTTGGGGCCCCATAGTGAGGGTTCTAAAGAATAATCTGCCACGTGTCAGTACAACTCTCTCTCGCCCTACACGTTAGTCAGCTGTACTACTCATGCACCCTAAATCATTTTGGCCCATTTTCAAATTAGGGTTTGGTGCATGTCAACTTCAAGGCCAGATATTTCAGAAGGCCTAATCCAACGGTTAGAAATTAACCTACAGAGCCATCTGGTATGAATCTTTTTACTCTTCAGGTTAAAACTTAAAAACCGTTGGATAGAAAGGATTTAAATAACACCGGGTTGGAGTGGAAGATAATTCCTTCTGTGGTTGCAAGGAGGAGTTCCTTCTGTGGTTATCATGTTAGGTGGACTCCATCTCCATGACAAGCCAAAGACCATGCACATACTTTCCCTCCTATTTTACGCCCTTTTCTTTAGGGTTATTGCATTATATGATGATTTTGTTTGGTATAAGAGATATGGATCCCACATACGAATCCCCTATCATTTGATCTTTGACACGGTTTATGAGTATATTTCATGAGAAACTGACCTTTAGAGGGGCTTGTTCCACCTGGGATATCGACTACAATCCTGAAAACATCAAAAAAAAAAAAACGGAGAAAACTCAGCATTCTTACTTGTTAAAAAGCTAGAGAGAGATCCATGAAACAGGAAAAAGGGTTAGTACCAATGGACCCATTCACGCATAGATGGCTCACTTGGACTAGGGGCATCAGGATCTGTCATCACCTGCATTAACCACCATGAAACTGCTTATAATCAACGTTGGCATCAACACACAAATATCTGCCATCATCAGTTAACAAATTTGCAAAGAAGAATGATGAAGCAGCAAGCAAGCGCTTGAGCACAGCAGAGAGAGAGAGTGAGAGAGAGGACCAGAGTATAGAGATCATCAGTGTGTCCAGAGACGACAACTTTGGGAGGGTTGGTCGCCATTGAAGGTTTAATATCACAACCGTTGGTGACATGCTTGGGTCCAAAGTAGACAGACATGCTAACAGTAGGAACAAACATGTCGACCACATCGCCTATCACTCGGCCCACAACAAGGGGTTCAACAGAAACAGCCATGATCATGAAGAAGGAAGGGGGGGGAGGGGGGGGAGAGAGAGAGAGAGAGAGAGAGTTAAAATGTTGCGATGAAGATGAAGAGCATGAAGGACTAGGTGGTGGGGGGGTTTTATAGGGAAGTAAAGTAAGAAAAACGTATATAAATTGAAGGGGGTATGAGGGTGAGGGGAATAATATTATAAAGAGCATGCAGAGAGAGGGTAAACAAAGATACAGAGGTCCCAGGGTTTTCCACGTGTGGAACTGCCTAAGAAGAAAGCCACCATCCGTTATTATCCTGCCGCCACGTGAAACAGCAGCGCTGTTTGGTTACAAAGTTTGATCTTCCTTTTGCAACCACCAGGTGGCTCCATCGAAACTGCTCCCCTTTGGTGGGCCGTATGCGACACCGCCGAAATCTTCAGTTAAAGACATCGATATATCACTAATTCACTACCCGCGACAAATTTGTCTGTCCTGGGTCCCACCTCTTATTTTTTTTTTTTTTTATAGATGGTTTTAGGCATCAACTATAATACTATACAGTCTCTATATAAGGTTAATTTTGGGTCTAAAAGGAACAAGAAAACCCTAACAAAGAGAGAGAGAGAGAGGGAGAGAGTATCTAGAGGTTGGTTAATTACCTTAAACCTTTAGTTACTTCTCATTAGTATTTCTTTCTTTTGAAAAAAGATTAAGTTGGTCAAGAAGGAACATAAGACAGAGGAAGATGCCAATCTAATCCTTAATTTAGTATTACTATTCTAATTAAGTATAAGCCATTTTGTTATTTATAGTCACAGGATAAGGCAATTCATTAAAGAAAAGGGGCATACACCGTCCATCCGAAGCCAAGGAAGAGGAGAGAAAAAGCAGCATCCTTTTTCATTGCTTTGATAATGGGAGATTTCATCATTTAATGCTAATTTGATTCAGTACTCTACTTTAGAAGGTTTATAGTATATACTCAAATATATATTTCCTCAGGTGATATACAGACCAGATTTTACGGATCGACTTTTGCTTTCTGAAAATGGTATTTGAAAACCATATCTACAAGATTACAATCTTTTCTTTTTTTTTTTTCAAAATACGAAATTATAGCATTTTTCTTGTGGACGCTCATCTAATTTTAAAACTAGTATTTCTTTAATGCGTGATTTTGTATGATTTTTCATTCATTATAAAATGGTTTTTTTTCTCTTCTTATAATAAATTGATGCCAATGTACGTATAATGACTTTTCTAATCTTATAAAAGGGTTTTCCAGAGGGACTTGTACTTAAAAGAATAGTTTAGAGCAAACACCTTTTGATTCCTGTATAATATATATCTTTTATGTAGAAGTCTGTTCTCAAGCTGCATGTAATATTGACAATTTGCGGTAAAAAACTTATTTATAGAAAAGGATTTTTAACTTTCATTGACAACCTACTGACTTATAATTAAAATTAAATACACATTTTTTCTTTGGAATTGGATTTACATTGTGCTTGTAAAGCATTCTTTTGGTTTTAACTTTACACCAAATAGTGTAGTTTGAATTCATTATCTTTACATTTAAATCAAGAGAAAGCACAAAATTTGCTTGAGAATACGGTTTTAACCAATCAAAACCCACCCATGAATTTTGATAAATAACACATGATTCACTACCATGTTTATGATTCTAGTTTATTTGTCAATTATTTTTCTGATATCATATCTTTTCCATATCATAATCAACTGACCAATAAACTAGAATCATAAATGTGGTAGTGAATCAGGTGTTATTTATCAAAATTCATGGGTGGGTTTTGATTGGTCAAAACTCGTTCCATATCATAGATTTTCTCTAATCAAAAAGCAATGTTTTCAAGTATTTATTTCTTTTCAAAAACATTCACCTTATAGAAGATAACTACTCTAAGCAATATCAGTCATCCATTAATTTCTTCAAAAAAAAAAAGTAGCATTCTTTTGTTAGTGTTAACAAATAAATAAAGAATAAAATAATTAGCTTTTTACTCTGCAGTCGTTTAGGCGGTAAGGTAAGAAAACCATCCATTAATAATTCTCAATCAACCATTTTCTCAATTGCGATTGATAACTTTCAATAATAACAAAATAAAAATAGAAAATAAATATGCAGAATTTTGTTCAGTCCATCATTATAATCATTTCTCCAGTAAATAGGTATAGAATAGAAATGTACATTTATCACCAAAAGCATTCTTTTCATTAATTGTATTGCTATTTATAGGCTGTGTTTGGTTGTAATGCAAATGTAAATATGTATATTATATATTTATTCTTTTTACGGTTCAGATTTTAAATCGTTTGCACTCATTTTGTTTGTTTGAAATTGGTGCTAAGTGTGGGCCCTATCATTAAATACTCCAACTACCTTATGCTCTAATACCTTAACTTTGGTTAAAAAATTGATTATCAAAAGAATACAAATTGTATCAAAAAAATAGGTACAGTAATACTCTCTTTTCAAAGTACAAAAAATATTAAAAAATATATTTTTGATCTAATAATCATTACTTTTTTATATGTCAAACATACGCTCACAAACACGAACCACAATATATAAATATCCTGATTCAGCATTTATATTACAAACAAACGGAACCTTAGGTTCAGTTTAGAGTACAAATACAAATATGTAGAGTGCAAACCTTATTTTGTATGTTCATACACTATACGTATTTGTATTTATACCCTTTCCAAACTGAACCATATTTTCTTTGTAATAAGAGCAAATTAGACAAAATAAGTGCTTCCCTGTGTATTCTCTAGAGTAATAACTCATAAAACCCATTAATAGAAGCTTTTTTTTTAATTTTGTTGTAAAAACAAACACGAAAATAGGCACCGCATGCAGACTAATATTCAATCTAAATTGAAAATGACTTTTTTAATTAGAACAAATATCTTCACCTATATATACCTAGGCCAATCCATAGATTCTACATAGATAGGACTTATTATGTAGATATTGCAGAAAAATCAATTTTGATAAAAGAATTCCACAATTGTCTCCTAAAAAGATGAGAAATACCTGAGTGATATGTCCCACAACCACTCAAATCTGTCACTTTGCATGCATGGCTAATGTGGAGTGTTATTATTGTTTAAACTGCACTATCATAGCCATCAAGTGCAGTTTATCCCGTCTTGCTAAATATGTCCTATCATATTAGAAAATCTTAAATAATCTTGTACACATAAATCTTGTTTTTTTAGGAAATATGCGTAAGTCCATTGAATAATACATGAATATTTTGGTAATAATGAACATATTTATGTGATGCCTTTAAAATTTCATGCTATGTTTGGTTTGAAGGAAAAGGTAGGGATATTTATACAAGGTTTGTAAAGGGTTTTTTTTATGTTTCCTTTTCTTTTCCTACTTTTTCCTTTAAACCAAACACAGTCTAAAATTCTAAATTGTAGAATGACCTGTAGACTAGAGGTGCAACTTGAAATAACCTGATCAAAGTTTAACCGACCAATATGAAAAAGATAATGTTGGATTGCATATTTGCATTATTTCTATAGTATATAAGACCAGAGTTGGGATTTGCTCCTTATACCAACCTCGTAGCACTTGGAAGTACATAATTGCAACATCTCCTTATCATTCATGGGGAGATAATGTTCAAATGCATGCTTACAACATGCTGTGATGTTGGTGTGAGCCACATTTTGTGAAGAGCAAATCCAAATTTATAGGCTCAATTCAACTGACACACTTAAATATCTCAACAAAGATGCATGTGATGTAGGGCTGTAAACAGGTTGGGTCTGATCCAAAGGATCCAATGGACCCAAACTGATTGGACCAGTTCTGGTTCCAGGAATTTGAACTGACGGGTTAGTTTTGGGTCCTGATATAGTATTTCGATTATTATCGATTTGAAACCAATATATGTATATATATAATATTTAATATATATTAAGCATATTGATTGATTGATTGATTGATTTATTTATTTATTATAGTCGGGTCCGTCGGATCCAGGTCAGTTTGGAGTCCTCATATTTCATGTCACTTTGGTTCCAATTCTAGCTAGTCTTGACCCAGACTCAACCCATTGACAGCCCTAATGTGATGACCATCAATGCTCCAACCAACATCAAGTTGGCCTGAGATCGTTTCTCAAAATAAAAACACACAAAATTTGTTCTTGGCTGTGTAGGTGTTTTTAATTTTCAAAACTGAAACTAAAACCATGTTCTTGAATTTCTAGTTTCAAAGCATGATTTCGTCTGATTATTCAATATCATGTTTCATACATCTTATAATTATTTCAATACAAAATTTGTTTTTATTTTAAAAATCATTATTTTGATGATTTCAAAAATATATATTATTTTTTAAAACAAAATCAAATTGTTTTTGTCTTTCGTAAAATTCAATAACATGTTTTTTTTTGCTGATGTGACGTTTTTCTTTTTTTGGCTTCCCGCCTCCTATGTTGTTTTCATCTTATTAATAACAAGTAAGAAACCCGATTATGGGAATTAATGTTTTCATTAATGTAGTGTCACCGTCGAGCCATTGTTCATCGTTACTTCCATCACAACCACCACTAAAATTGCAGAAATTCTGCAGCATTTTAAATGGACTGTTAATGAAAATAGAATTCAAGGTTTTTCTTCCTAATGCTATGGTTGGTCATTGATCTAAACTATCATCATGGTATAACAAGCTATAGTCTTTCCTCCATAGCCATCCACTTAACGCCTTTCTTTTCCATGAACTGATTCAAGTGTACGTTCATTGAAAGATGTGATTTAAGGGAATATATTGATGTGATGCATATTTTGATATTAAATTTTGGATAAATTTCTTAAACTAATTTATGATTTTATTAATTAACTAATTCTATTCTTATTATTTACAAATTATTTTAAATACCTTTATTATTTTTGACAATCCACGTTATTATTAAACTTTAACGCAAAAACGATAAAATGTCAAAATTTTCTTTCATTATTTTTTAAATTTTCAAAATAAAACTCATCTTATAAAAAAAAATTAAGAAATCAACAATGACGAATCGTATTTGCAGTTGAATTCGCAGCTGCACAGCCTTTCTTCAGGTGAGCTCCTCAAGCTTCTTGAGTAAAATCTTGCAGCTATGGTCAATTTCAGCCAAGGTTGCTTCCCTCTCATATTGTTGTTGTTGTTGCAGAGCCTGCAAGGATGCAAGTTGCTCCTAGAGTGATTCAAGTGTGTTGCGGATGTTTAAAAGGCTCTCAGCTTCATCGTCTTCTTCATCACCATCGTCAAGCTAATGGAAACCATTCTCTCAGCATTCGTACAACCTCAACCGGTCATAGGGGTGTCAATTGGATTGAATTTGGTCCAATCCGATTCAGTCCAATGTGAGTACTTACAAATGGATTGGACCCAATTCTGTCCAAGTCCAATTTAAACCAAATCCAATCCAATCTAATCCATTAAAATGTAAATGGACTAGATTGGTTCCAATCCAAACCGAATGAATCAATGAAATATAAAAAATTATATAAATAAACAGAACATATAAATAATTCAAAAATATATTGAAATGAAGAAAATCTGAATATTACAAAAATATACCCTTTTGGCATTTTGCAAAAGTATTTTTATAATAATACTTTTATAGAAGTGTTTTTATAAAAGTATTTTTGTATAAGTGCTTTTGTAAAAATACTTTCATAGTTTTTATAAAAGTGCTTTCATAAAAGTATTTTTATAAAATGCTTTCATAAAAATACTTTCATCATAAAAGTATTTTTTATAAAAATGATTTTATAAAAGTATTTTCATAAAAGTACTTACTTTTATAAAAATGATTTTACGACGACTTTAATTTTGATTAGTTTTAAATTGAACAATTCAAACAAACAGCGATGTGGAACAAATTATTTTGAATTAGCTCAATTTAATAATTATAATAAATCATCCAAATCCGATTTAATAAGATTTAGATTGAATTGGATCCAATCCAAAACCGATCGATTGACGCCCATAACCAGTCATACCTCATTCGTACAATCCAAAGTCCAAACGCTCCAATGTTGGGCTTCCATAGCTGTTGTACATCGTCAATTCATCTCGGACGTGGTATCCCCCGTCAAGTGAGACTCGGAGATGAATCCGTGAATCAAACCTCAGAAGTCAAAATCACCAGGATTCGATGAAGTTGTAATGCATCTCCAGGATAAACCAATTCGAAACCATCGGCTTATCATCGTCCTCGGTTCTATTTCCATCACTGTAATCACTAATCAGTACCTCGTCTCTTTCTGGCCTTATTCGATCTCCGTTCAGAATTAATGGGCATCTTGGATTAAAAAAAAAATCCCGCCCAGATGCCTTTGGAATCTAGATGAAGCCCTCCCTCTCTCTCCTTCCCTCACTCTTTTCTTCTACTTCATCTACTATCCACTTCCACCGTCATCAGCTGCGTACCTGTGCCACTGGCCGCACAACTTCAAAATCTCCCTGATTTCTCTTTCTCTCTCTTATCTTCTTTTTCCTTCTTTCCCTTCAAATCTGAAGGAAATGTAGAATCTGAAAGAGAGACAGCAATTGAGAACTTGAAAATAGTTTCTTTATTTTTCTGAAAATCAACCCTCAATTGTAATACCTTGTATCGAGATGATTTTGTAAACCCTAGTTCAGAGTTTGAGCCCAGATTCTCCCTGTCTAGATCATCATCCTTAATATTCAAAGTTTGCTCTTGTCTCTCCAAGCGATCAGGTTAAGTTCAATCTTCCAAGAAGCTAATAGGGTAACTCGTCAGCTTGCCTGTGAGACTAAGGTTCTCTATAATAGCGGCCCTTCAAGTTATTTCTTTGTTCAAGTTAAAAGAGATCCAACTAAAGCATCCGACCCATTTTCTGGGCGATTTTATACGATGATGCTCTTAGCAGAACAGGGGAAGTGTTTTATCGATCTTCCTCTCTAGTTCATTCTCCAGTAGGAAAAAGATTAACCCAGGAAAAACACCATTCTGGTTGCATAAGTGAGTCCCTCCTCACGAAGAAAAGGCGTTTAAAGAAAGAAAAATCCAACACTAGAGAATCGACCCTTGTAATTAGCTTTGAAGGAGAAGATGATTAAATCGGTCTCATTTTTCTTGCTCTCACTTGCTTTCTTTCTCACTTCCCAACAAGCCAAGCCCATCATTCAACAACCTCAGCCAGGCAGTTCGGTTTGAAGATCCAAAACACGTAGGTACCAGCAAACATAAAATCAAAAAGAACACGCTTTTGATCTCTCCCTTTGTTATTTGCTTTTCTTTTCTCCTTGTTTTCTCTACAGAGCCTGAGGAGCTACTCTTACATAGTGACCATAAGAACCTTCTGCTCTTGTATAGGATCGTTGTTTGCCTAGGCAGTGACACGCTTCCTCCGCGTCGCAGCAAAGATATCACGTCCAATAGGTTTGAGTGGTTTGGTGCCAAGGTTGTTTGAAAGCAAAGAAAATTGATATGATTGAATTGATGTAATTAATTTTTTTTTTAATTATAACCATATATTGTTTCAATATAGTATACTTAATTCTTTGATTTTGTAAAACCGGTTCACCAACATGCATGTTGTTGTTTTCTTGTTTACATAAATGTCACATCATGAAAAATCTAAAACCCTGCCTTAATATCCTTACAACAAAGTAAAAACATTTTTATTTTTACTTATCAAATGGTCTACATCTTTATACACAAAACCCTAAAAGTTCATTATGTGTTGAAAGATGCTCCTAAAATGACTTGTCAAATCACAACTTAATAAATGCCTCTTTGTCTATCTATCTACTGCATATTGTCTATTATTTCCTCCTCTTTAAAATCTATTCCCAGTTATTTACTTATAGTAAGGGTGTCTTTCTTTCTTTCTTTCTTTTTGACACCCAACCAAACTTGCTCAACTGCTTATCCTCCAAGCTTTTCAACATCAAATGAAAAGAAGAAAAAAATTTATTTCTTCATCCACAGAAAACATTTGAGCAAGGAACAAATCTAAAACAGAACAATGAATTTGATGTGATACCTTCTCTCCTTTCTCCTTTTCGTTTTGGATCTTACTTAAATTAGTTCAATTGCTCCGCCTGCTTTCATATCTTCAATCATACCATTTTCAACACTTGAATAAAGAGCAAATCTGAAATAGAATGAACTCAATTGCTCCTCCCATCTTTCTCTTGACCTCATGTTTGAATAGATTTCAGGTAGACATTTTTTTAATGTTTGAATAGATTTGAAATCTGAAATGGAAAAGCAGGAAGGCTTTGAAATAATCAATAATTTAAATATAGAAATTATAACATAATAACAGAATAAAAGTCATTCAAAATTGAAAGCTTTGCCTTGCACTCTATCTAAGAACTAATCCATTAGAATTTACCTAAATCAAACCCAAATTTTGAAATTCAATTGGGAGTTCACATGTGAACCGTGCAGCCATATTTATCTCCCTCTAAAATCCTTTTCTTCAAACAGGGGCTTTGATTTGATAGACAAAACATTTAATATTAGTAGGTAGTTGTAGACAAATCATCCCTCCACAAAAAGAATGAGAGGTCATTATAAGGATTACTTGAGATAGCTTGTGGTCCCCCCACCCAACTGAATATAGCAAAGGAATATGTTGGGTCCAACATGTGCCCATGGCCCAACCCAACCTACTACTTTTGCTACCTGGCCCCTAAACTTCTCCACCAGCTACAAACTATATTACATGCCGATCCACCTATCATCATATGTGGACAGGCTTATCCATCAGATCAATCAACAAAAGGACATGTGTCACAAATTAATCACTTAGATTAGATAAGGGCTTTCATGAATTGGTTGGTTGGGGTCTTATAGCGCAAGTCCTATCATGGATGAGTCATATCCTTCGTCAATACTACGTGATCCCAAGCTGTGAGCTGTGAGTACTGAGTTATCTTGGTTTGACTCTGTTCATCCCAAGCCTAAATTACTAATAGGCTGAGACCTGAGACAACACGAGCTGTGTCGACGTTGACGTTCCATACTTTTCCCGTGAAGCTTGGGCTCTGTTTGGCTGAGACAACACAAGATGAAAACCTTTACTCCCCTCGGCGCATTTTAGTGATCCCCCTCCCTCTCTGTTAAAGAGTTGCATCAAATTACACATTTCTACGTTGCAATAAACGACAAAAAGTGAAATTATACTTCTATCCATGAGATTGATAGATACACAAAAGACAGAAACGGACAAAATTACAGGGGGGGGGGGGGGAACTTCCAGTCTAAGCTTAAAATAAAAAGAACAAAAGTAGAAAAGTCAAAAGTAAAACTGGAAGGATGAGATCATACAAACATTAAAAAACAAAGAAAGTGATACAATGATAAGTCCGAGAGGATATGGAAGGATGGTGGCGGAAGATTGACCGTCCAGCTCAGATGAATCAACGGGTAGGGGCATCCCATCACCCTTTAGAGAACATGACTGAGGATCTGAGCCGTTGGTGCTCATCATGAGGGCCCTGAGTACTGCAGATACTGTGGGAATGTACGCAGTTCGGTTCTTGGAGAGCAGCCACGTCAGACCCATGAAACCACAGTCTCTGTTCCGCATCTTGGCGATCCTGTCCGACTCTGACTTACTGGAATTCCCACTGTTGTGCTCGTTAAGCTACAGTAGCAGATTGGTAAAAAAGAAATTTTCGTAAAAATGTAAATTAATTGAGAAATGATACAATGCCCTTTCTATCAACTTCCTTCTTAATATATGTATGGCCAGGATCATGCGGAAAATATGGGATGGCCCACCAAGTTGAACTATATCATGAACGTTATTCATCAATTTGAATGGCCAACTAAAGGTGGGCCTTACTTGAAAGCCCAAACTGACCAGGCAATCTTAGTGGGTCCAAACAGGTGAAACCAAAGCCCATCGCAAAAGTTGGCTCCACCTCAATGGGCCCCACACACCCACTAACAGTCTTGCCCCTAATTAATTCACTAAAAAAAAGAAAGAAAAATTAGAAAAAGAAGCTAAGAAAGTTCAGTTCTTCTCTTGTAGAAAAAAGAATGTCAAAATGAATGAGGGAAAAAACTTTCCCAATTACCAACCAAGTAATGGAAGAGGAGATGAAGAAACCCAAAAAGCTGCTTCTTCTTCCTCTCTGTAGTTTGTTCTCTCCAGCATAATAGCAAAATAACAATCAAAAGAAAAAAAAAAGGGAAATTTAAGCTCACCTGGTAGAGTCTGTTCAAGCACTTGGAACACCCAGAAAGATTAGTGTAGCCATTGATACTTAAGCAATCCTTCTCAAGCTTCTTCACAGTGTCACCACCAAGCAGGTTGCCTTCCTTGGACACTGAAAACGCATTAGGACAGCTCCATGGACGCAGCCTTATACCACAATAACAGTACACCAAGTCACAAGTCGCGTTTGGCCGGAACAACTCAATTCCCTTCCCTTTTAATGCATTCTCCAGGCTGCCCACACACGTCTCCGAGTCATCTGGTAGCATGGGCAAGTCGTATGGCTGGGCGGGCATTCTGGCCGCCCGCCCCAGAGCCGTTACAGAATAAGCAGAGTAGAGCCAAGCGGCTAGCACGGGACAGCAGCGGCTCCGTTTCAGACCTGCTGAAGGATGAACTTTGTTGTCACTCCCCCCGCAAGCCTTGCTTATACTCTGGAAGAGCTCATCGGGGAGGTCTAGTGGGCAGCCAGCGACGTCGGATTGTTCGGGGAAGGCTGGGATCGTGGATGGAGGAGCTTTAATGGGAAGGAAGGGCTGGATCGAAGATGAGTCTGGTTGGGGCAGTGCGGGCACGGCGGGGAGAACGAAGAATAAGGCGAAGAAGAAGCAGCAGCAGCCATGGTGAAGAGGGTTTGGAGACATTTTCTTCGTGCTTTGTGTGAGAGAGAAATGTGAATCGAGAGAGAGAGAAGAGGAGACAGAGATGATGGTTGATGGTGGTTGCTTGCTTTTCTACGCCCAAACCCAGAGTAAGGAAAGAGAGAAAGGATTGGGGAAAAGAGAAAAGAAAGGAGTTAAAAGCCTTAAAGGAGATGGTGGGACTGGAGAGTGTGGACAGTAGTTAGGGATACTTGAATTTTAGTTATAAGGAATGAACTATTTGAAGAGAAAATTTGGTTCCATATGTGTTCAATAGATATGGTTCTATTAAATAGGGATTTGGGGAAGATCAGACAATGATCATTGATCCACAAGTGGGTCTTGGTTAGGGTGTATCACTTGTATGATATTGAGTGTCTTATTTGTAAAACCAGACACATTTATTTTATTCGTTTAAGATCAATGAAGTCATAACATGCTTATTTTATTTTGATATATACTTTTGAAAATCTACCTGGTAGGCCAGTTGGATGGTGGTCCCCGCTCTCTGTACTTGGCCTACGTGTCCCCGCCCATGTGGTGTGACAAAACAAGAGTCTGAATTTGCAGAAAAATTTTAGTTCTGGATTGGGAGATATCAAGATAATAAGGCAAAGGACTTAAGACAAGGGTTATTGATTATGGTTTTTACTGCAGAGAGTAGGAGAATATGTAAGCTTAAGTGTTATTATAGTCTGAAATTAGTCTACACATTGGAACTATTTTGAATTATAAATGAACAGAATCCAATGGGATCACATCCATTTCATCACTGTTTTCTTTGATTACTAGAAAAAGGACCAACCAAATTGCAGTATTTGAAATTAAAAAAAAAATCTTATTTTATTGTAAAGTGTTTTTTAATAGTCTATTATTGAATATGGTACGATTACACTATACAGAGTCATGACTGAACAATGCATTTGGAAATTGGCATCTTGCACACCCCCCCCCCTCCCCTCTTCAAATCAGTAGATTTGCTTGCACAAGGAATTCTCCCTATGAAATATGAATAGCAGTTAAAGTGGATTTGAGATTTGAAATTCAACAGTTTCAAAGGGTGCCCCCCCAATGCATGAATGAATATAAAAGAACTGGGACTGATCATCCATAGCCTGAAAAATCCAGGCTGATCGCCTTATTCAACCTCAATTCAGGCCAAAATCATGACCAGTAGGGATTGATTAATACTGATATAGGAGAAGGTGAGACAAGATGAACAGAGTTGGTCCATGTTGTTTCCTGGGAGTCGAGAAAATGCTAGAGTTGGGATGAAACAGAGAAACACCTTTCAACTTCAACAGCTAGTGATAGATTCATGAACAATGAAGTGATGCTGTGAGCAGATAGCTTTCCAAGCTCAATGCTTGGCATTTTCTATCATAATGTAATCAACAATTCCTGCCTTCTTGGCTTTTCTTCCAATTACTGACATTACCCCATTACACATTACACGTGATTGATTCATTTGTTTGATTTTGGTTACAAATAAATCATTGTTTTATGGGTCTTCAAGCACAAAAATAGTGGGCCAAGGCCCATTAGACGTACCTTTGGTGGGAGATCAGCAAAACTAAAACTATGATCATCAATTCATCGTATGGCTTTTAAGTTTTTAATTATCAGCTAGGATTTTACCTTTTTTCTTTTTTTTCTCCATCAAGCATCTATTGGAGTTCTCCAGTATTCAAATGAATAAAAAACAAAAACTGAATGGTATACATCGCCCTTGTGTTGATTTTTGGCAAATTTAGGTGGGACCCATTTATATTCTCGGTCTGAGATCTTCTCTGCTCATGCCATTTGGCTATATTGTATTGTATACAATTATGTAATGTTTGCACTGAAACACGGTCTGACTGCTCAGGTGTCTCTATTTCACTTGCATTTACCTCTGAAGGCATCTCTTCTTGAATTAAGAAATTAGGGGGAATAAGCAGCTAGTAAACAACTATAAAGCAATTCAGTATTCCTCTCTCTCTCTCTCTCAGAAATGAAAAATCTCTTTATTGAGGCCTTATTGAGAGGCTGGGAGCCTTGGAATGAATGGTATAATCATAACTGTTTGCGTTGAACTTTGATTTTTACGTGATCTGGGGACCAAGATGTGACTATAAAACACATCATGTGACCCATATGAGCTGCCCCTGTTTGGACCTTTCCTAGACAATTTGGCTTGGCCCCATTTCTTGATTGCTTGCTTAGGTGGTACTTGATAAATGTGCTGATCAACTCAGAACGTAGAACAGTTCTGAGTCTTACGCTTGAAACAACATGACTTATCCTTTCAATCTTGGCATCTTCGTTCAATCCCAATTCACCCACCAGAAAAAAAAAGGAGAAATATAATGAAATAACTGCAGAGTTCTTTCAGTATCAGCCTGATTCTTGGCCTTAGAGATCTCCCCAGTGGGACCCAGAAGATGTTTGTGAATTTGTCCAACAGCCTTTCAGCTTTCATCTCATTTCAATTACTTCAACAGGGTAATTAGCACTTAATTATGCCATCAAGAAGCATCATTATCCATTTAAAAAGAGAAAAATTAACTTGATTGCTTCTTCGGCCCAAGCTCAAGAATCCCTGTGATACATGAATATAATAAAAGTAAAGGCTGGAAAGAGAAGTACCAGGTATGAGTCGTCGTATACATGCATGCCATATAGGTACACTCTGGTCTCTGGATGTTGTACAGCAGATTTGTCTTGGTGGGGCAGACCTGCATGGCTCAGTGTCTCGTGTGATCTCTGTGTTTTGGCCTTGGGGATGATCTCTATATGGGACTTGTCCAGCTCTTGGGTCCCACTCTTGCTTTATCTGTGGCACCCCATTCTTGAATGTGAAGCTCTTAAGTACATACTATATATAAGGCTTTTTTTGTGTTTAATCTAATCAAGATCTACTCAAATCTCCTGTTTGGTTCTTTTGATATAAGTAGGAGTTCATTTCTCCCATAAATAATTGTATTTTGCTTGTTAACTTTGAAAAGCACAAAGATCCGCTTTTAGTTTTAGTTTTAACTAATGACTTAGGCTATATAAACTCCTTGATGATTCTTTAGGGAATTGAGGGAAGGGGGGACCAGGGAATTTGGTTTCTGACCTTTTCTAGGGCACCTAATAAGGAATAAAGAGGGATAGGTTATTAAAAATAAACACCTATGTATCTTATGAATTTGATATATGTATTTTATGAAGAATGGAGGCCTTAGCACGCGTTTCTAGTCTACAGACTAAAGCTGTTAATGGGTTCAAAAGGGCCATAAAGAAGACACTTTGTGGGTCTCCACTCCATTCATCTCTGCAGTTTTTTTTTTTTTTTTTTTTTTGGGGGGGGGGGGGGGTGGATTTCATTTACTTTTGCTTCAAAGATTCACTTCATGCGCGTGAATGATTCTTTGGTTTTGGATCTCGGGCTTGATGGGCCTTCATTTTTTGGATCTCTGACCCATTATCACGAGGGTCCCATTTCCTTTTAACAATTGGTTTTTTATTAACTAGAGCTAGGGGTAGGGGCCGGTAGCAATGACCTGCCAGGTTGGATAAAGTAGGCTTCATGAAAGTTTTCATGACATGAACTGAAGTCTGAAGCATCTCCAGTCAAAAGTTTGTTGAGGTTGGGCTAGGCATTTTAATTTCACTTCCGCCTAGATTTGAAATGACTACTCCCCCCAACCAAAGTCATTTCCAATTTTGTTTTATGGGTTGCCAAGTTCTACTTAATTACAAAAGATAGAACAGGTAGGTTGTTGAAAACCAAATATTTGTGGAATTGCCCCCTCAATTCTGATCTAGGTTACTTGGTGACCTCACAAGTCAAATGGGTGTCTAAAGGGGATGATTCTGGTTGAATGGTCAAGATCTTGGGGTATTGGATGGATGGTGGAGATTAAATCTGGAGATTGATGAGTGTACAATGGACATATGTGGGATTTTAGTTTCTCTTTCAACCCTGTGACCCAAACAAGATATAGGGAAGATAGACGACCAAGCGGATTCTGTACCTATGATCAAGTTGGTTTTGCCAAAAGACGCTCCAATAGAAGGGACTTTCTAGGTTTTATTGATCTAAGCTGTCAATGGATCGGTTCTATCCAATCCACCGAACCGAACTGAACCAATTAGATCAGTTCAATTTTGTGCTGATTAATAATTGGGTTGGTCCTGGATATTATTTGTTCCAAATTGATTATTTTATGGGAAAATCTATGATGCGGAGTATGGGAAGAGTTTTGACCAATTAAAATTCACCCATGAATTTTGATAAATAACACCTAATTGACTATCATGTTTATGATTCTATTTGACTGGTCAGAAGTTTTTCAGATATCATATCTTTTCCATATCATAGTCAAATTCTTATTTTATTAATAATATATAAATGTTTTTTAACATTTTTATAATTTTTTTGTTAAATCATACTCGATTATTAATCGAGATGGTTCTGGGTCTATGATTTTGTCCCGATTAATAATCCATTCAGGACTAGGAGACACTATTCCAACCTAGATTTAAACCCATCAACAGCCCTACACTGATCTAGACTATAAAAAAGGGTACAAAGACCAACATTGAATTGTTCTCATCTTGGAGGTGATGCTATCCGATCCGAGATGTTCTGAATCGACGACACAATCAGATAATTTTGTCAATTGGACAAGGCCGAGGTGGAAGGACGAAGCCATGCACTAAGATCTGCAACTAGGAGAAAGGTTAAAGGCCCAAGGAGTTATTCCCCGGGTAGGTACTCCGACGCTCATGTCAGTTCGGTAGAGAAAGAGGTGGTCGGGCCGAAAAGGTTGAAATAACGCTAGTTCGAGCCGAAGAGGTAGTGTAGAGTATTCAAAAAGTGTTCTTCTAAAAGTCCTTTACCTCGAGCAAGGAGTACCTATTTATAGTTGAGTGTTCGTTTCCTAGATGGATAGGGCTTTTGGGGTTGTGGGGATGGGGTCATCCATCAAGGTCTTCGGGAGGTTTCCTCTTCCCCAACGAAGTCCGCTTCCTTGTCTATGCAGGGCACTCCTTAGTTGTGCTATTCCGTTACACGGGGTGTTGATGTGGCTTAAGAGAGAGGATGGTCGCGGAGGTTGCCACATGGCATCCTTGGCCAACTCAACCATCAATTGAACACCATTCCCCCAGTTCCAAAGTCGAGGAGTGTAGTGCTCGACCACGACTAGGCATGGAACAGCTCTACGGTCTTCGGTTGAGGAAGTTTAATTTCTTTGAGTTGACTGACCCAGAGTTAGGCTGGTTTGCTGGGTGAACCGACCAGTTCAACACTCA